AAAATATAGAAGAAAATTTTCACAATTTTGAAGTGGGCAAAGACATTTTAGGACACACACAAAAAACACAATCCATACAAGAAAAATTTTAAATTACACTTCATTAAAATTTTTAAATTGTTTTTTTTAAAAAAAACATTAAAAAATGAATGGCAAACAATAGACTTGGAGAAAATATTCACCTTATGTATATATGACAAAGACTTTTTTACCCAGGATATACTGAGAACTCTTGCAACTCAATAAGAAGAGACACCTCAGTTTGAAAAAAAAAATGGGAAAAAGATTTTGAATAGACATTCAAAGAAGATAATGAATGACAAATAAGCCTATGAAAAGATGCTCATCACTAACATTATTTATCAGAAAATAGATGATTAATTAAAATTACAATGAGATGCCACTAAAATGTATAATAATGGCTAAAATAAAAAAGACACAAACAAATGTTGACAAGGATCTTGAAGCAATCGACTCTGATAGATTGCTAGTGGGAATGCAAAATGGTATCTAGCCACTATGAAAAACAGTTCATGGTAAAGTGAACCTAACACATACCATAATACCAGCAGTACCACCCAAGAGAAATGAAAGTATATGTCCAAACAAATACTTGTACATGGATGTTCATAGCAGTCCTATTCATTATAATAGCTCCAAACTAGAAAAAAACTAAAATGTGGTATCTGCTATTGCTATTGATAAGGAATACTATTCAGAACAAAAAAAGTACATAAAAGCTACAGATACACACAACGACATGGGTGAATCTCAAAAGCATTGTGCCAAGGGAAAGAAACTAGATACAAAAAGTACCCTCTATATAAGTTGACTTAAATTGAACTATAGAAAAGACAAGTCTAATCTATAGTGATAGGAAGTAGATCTGTGGCCATCTGGGCCCAGGGAAAAGGGGAGGAGATTGGAGATTGACTGTAAAAAGGGAAAAAGGGGACTTTTTCAGGTAATGAAAATGCTGACATCTTAACTGTGGTGGTGGTTAAATGGTTATATACATTTGCCGTAATTCATTGAAGTACACACAAAAATGTATGCATTTTTATTGTATGTAAATTATACTTAAATGATCTTTTAAAATGTACTCAAGGGAAAGCAAACTCTTCCAGAACACACAGAATACTTCTTAACTCATTTTATAAGACTAACATTATTTTGATACCAAAACTAGACAAAGGCATTAACGTCCCAAATAGAGTCTCAAATACTAGTTTCAAATCCTAAAATTCCCTTAGTGTATTAATTATTAGCCTTCTATTATGAAAGTACAGCCCTGATCAAACATTTCGAGACACCTAGGTATTTGTAGCAAGAGAAAGGAAGTTTGGATTAAAGAAAATAGTAATAAGAGCTTCCTAATACAAGTAACCTAATCTACAATTTTATCCTGAAGCCTGCCACATATCTCCTTAAAAAAAAAAAAAAAAAAAACAAAAAAAAAAACTCCTAACCAATCATTTGTATCCCTACTGGAAAGACCAAACATTGACACTGATTTCCAAAAGCAAGACCAATGTATACTTGCAGCTTTCACTAAAACATTTAACATTTCCATAAATTTTGTCAAAATCAGTTATAGTTCACTAAATCATGATTAAATATTAAATGAGCTAAGTCAACTAAAAGATTTATGATCTTAAGACCTATTCGTTTTTGTGCAGAAGTATTGGACGTATACAATAGTAGTGAGAGTAGCATAATGGACTCCCATCCATACACTATCAAGATAATAAAATTCAAGATGTTGCCATTCTTGCTGTATCTTTCTCTGTTTTTCACTTTCTTTTAAAAGCAAATCTCAAACATCCTGTCATTTCAGTCCTGCATACTTCAATATGCATCCCTAAAAATTATAAATACTTTTAAGATGTCTTTTTAAGATTATTTCTTTTTGGGGGCGCCTGGGTGGCTCAGTCGTTAAGCGTCTGCCTTCGGCTCAGGTCATGATCCCGGGGTCCTGGGATCGAGCCCCGCATTGGGCTCCCTGCTCTGCAGGAAGCCTGCTTCTCCCTCTCCCACTCCCCCTGCTTGTGTTCCCTCTCTCGCTGTCTCTCTCTCTCTGTCAAATAAATAAATAAAATCTTTAAAAAAAGATTATTTTTGTACAGTATGGAAACATTAGTTTTCTCAATATACAAGAAGTCAAGTTGAATTTTTCAACATCATATTTTTTCCACTGCTGAAACCTATAGCAACTATATAATTAAAATTAAAAGATCTTTCGCGCCTGGGTGGCTCAGTTGGTTAAGCGACTGCCTTCGGCTCAGGTCATGATCCTGGAGTCCCGGGATCGAGTCCCGCATCGGGCTCCCTGCTCAGCAGGGAGTCTGCTTCTCCCTCTGACCCTCTTCCCTCTCGTGCTCTCTATCTCTCATTCTCTCTCTCTCAAATAAATAAATAAAATCTTTAAAAAAAAAAAAAAGATCTTTCAATAAGCATTCTTTTCTATAAGGTTTCATTAATTGCCTATGGCTTATAACTACATTAAAGCTAGACATGTTATTTAAATATAGCATAAACCCCCAATCTTTTATTTTATAAGAAAATTAATTTCTTGTTTTTACAAAGAGAAATAAAAGTGGTCGCTAATTTGATCCCCATACGAGTCACCAGAAAAAAAATGGTCACTAAGGCCTAGCAAAAGAAAAAATAAAAAAGTTACCCCATAGCTGTTCAAAATAGATAGTATATCCATCCCTACATAAGTATACAGTGGGTGCAAAACCATACTCTACACACTGTAAAGAATACTAGAAAATCTTCCAACGGTCTAGTGATTCAGTGGGGGCACTTCTCAGTAACTCAGAGTCAAATATTCCTCATTGTGATAAATCTAAAGATAACATCACATCACTTAACATCCATCCTACTAAATGATACAAGTTATAAAACTTCAATATACTTTAACTGAAAACTGTACTTGATATATTTACCATGGCTGTTACTTTGTCTCAGGAATAGGGAACACAGTATTTTAGGGATGCCATGAGTTGTGCCAGAACTGACTTGCTAAGTTTCTTAAAGCTAAACCCTAAGATTGTAAAAACAAGTAAAGGGACCTTCATTCATAAAAGAGATTTTTCCCTAACTGAGCAAATAATAATTTGATATATTGAAAAAGATACGTTAAACATACCCTGCCCAGGTTGTCTGGGTAAAGGGAATGGAAGTTACGGACATATTAATCAACTGAACATAGAAGGATGGCTGATTTTTCACTTGTCAAATAACATTTTTGAATGGAAGCATTTCTTCTGGCTCTCAATATAAAGCATTTTGTAGATTCCCCCTCTCCTCATTTTTAGCAGTCATATTATCAAACAAGAATTAGCTGTGAAATAAAGTTACTTTAAAGCATATAAATCTTAAAAGGTTAATTCATATTCTACTTCTCTTTCATAATTGCCTATATAAGGCACAAGCCATTCATCTTAGAAAGAATTAAAAGGAGTTACCCAAGAGGCCAACAACAATAACAAAAATCTAGGAAGGCTGAGAGTTGGTCAGTTAGAATCTTCATCTCAATAAAAGATACAAAGAGAGATAAACCCTTACCTCGGCTATTTAAGTACATACAAGAAGGAGACTTACAACGCATATGTTGACATTGACTAACTTCTGACTGCATGAGGTAACAGTGCTCTCATACACATATTATTCATCTGCTGTATGTTACTTGTCCTAACCTTTCAATTTAATTGAATCTAACAGAACCTATTAAATTCAGTCTGGTTGTATAAGATTATGACAGTCATTAATGAGCCAGACTTTTAAGTGCATTAAAGATAAACTGACTGGTTAAGAGGGCTTTCCCCTTTTGTTTCCTTGCTGTTTACTGCAATGAAAACTACAATACCAATATTTTTAGGCCTGTAATACTGACTTTCCCTCATGTCTGAATCAAGTTAGGTTTAAACTTGCTGGTTACTCGCATTTACACATAAACCAACACTAATTTGGTAAAATTTAAGTCGCAATCTTCAAAATAATGCAACAGACTGACTCAATTTCACTCTCCACTTTGAAAAAAAAAAAACAAGCTGAGCTACAGATTTATCTCGGGAATGACCTCTGAGGCAAGTGTATAATAAACATTCATTTTTATTTGTTCTTTTTCCCCCCATCCTTTTCTCTACCAAAAGCAGACTGTAAAACTTAAATCATACAAATGTCAGGAGTTCCTGCAAATAGGCTGCTTGTTTTAGTTAAAAATATTTGACGATCCTTTTAAAGTTTTCAAATTTCTCTCCTTCCATGTGAGCATTGCTTGAAAAAAAGAAAGTAAGGATTTTATTGCTATGTGTGTGCATGTGGGGGGATAGCCATAGGACTGTTTTTGGCACAGATTTATTTAAAACAAATATTAAAAACTCCAGATCCTCCTAAAAGGTGATGAGAATGATATCTCACTACTCTTTGTAGCGACAGTTTTGGTTGTTGTTGGTTGTTTTTTTGTTTGTTTGTTTGTTTGTTTTTTTATTTCAGTGACATATTACACCTGAAAACACAAGTTACATAGCACTGATTGCACAAACTTTATGTCTGGAAAAGGTATGCTCACCCGCTGTATGAAGAGTGAAAACTCAAAGTAGATTTTATGGTAGTGGCATCAATGATAACTTTAAAATATATAGGTACTGTCACTTGCGGAAAAGAAAGATCATTTAAACAATTTAACTTAGAGGAACTGTGTGATGAGCAGACCGTGCTAAAGGTAAATTATTTCAAATATATATAACAAAACTTAAGTGTGTCTCATTCACCACTCTAAAAATATGGGTCATTGAATCAGAAAGATTATTTAACAAGTCTCCAGTTCTTAAGATGATTTATCCCAATACCCCAAATGATAACATTCTCTACTGAAATCAGACAAAAAGGCAGTAAAGTATGTTTGAGCACAGGCGCTCCACACAGTAGTTATGATTTGCTCAAAAGAGTGGAGTTCTAAAATTTATTTTGATTTTCTTAAACTCACTCACTTGTGACCAATCTCATGTGCAATGGTAAAAGCGGAACCCAGGCCAATGTCTTCATTAATGCTGCAGCTCCTTTCAGGCTCACACATTCCAGCCACAGAGGCCAAGCCTGAATAAACAGAAGGAGACACAAAGGGTCAAGCCAAGGTGTTTCAGTCTTAAAAAGCCCATACTTATAAATGCCTGGATTCTTTTTAATAACCTCCATGCACAGAAGGAACAGTTGGCAAAAGGTTAACTTTCTAGTCATTTGCAAAATCACTGGGGGGAGTTTCACTTTGCCGGCTAGACATTAATATTTTTTGAACTGCAGTCAGTGCTGGAAAATGTCTAGACTAGGGGTTAGATTTATAAATTTTACTTCTGGTAACTTGGGACCACCTAGTAACTTGAGCCAGAAGAGGGAATTCAAGAAAGCATTTCTATTTTAACATTCTTCAGGCTGTAGAAAAGCAAAATACATCCACATTATTTTTCTAAAGAGATCTGTTTAAGTTTAGTGGGTTCATAAAAATATACAAGCAACTTTTTAGTTACCAAAAAAAGGGAATCCCAAATGGTTTTTTTTAAATGACATTTTTTTATAAAAGCAAAAATGAATGATTCAAAAGAGAAAAAGGAGAACTGTTAAAAATAGGAGGTTTTGCATTTTTTTAATCTTCTGAAATAAGTCCTGATAGTGATGCAACAATTTCTTTAGGTACTTTAATGGAAAGAAAGACATTCGTACATTCAGTGGTTATCTCCTCTCCCATCCCCCTTCAATGCATTAGTTTTACTAATAAAGCAAAAACTACAGTGTTAATTCACTGATTCTAATGAAATGTTCCGTTCTCAAGGTATTCCTCCCTTGGGAATTTTAGCTTGTAAAAGTTTTCATATTTACTTCCAAATGAATATCACGCCCTGTGAATTAGTACGTAACTTTAAAAACAGTACTTAGAAAAAAAGAATTTTTGTGTGAAAAATGTCATGTGTTATAAGGAAACAGATGCCAAATTATACTTAACACATATAGGAACGAAAGTTATTTAAAAGAAATTGAAGGAAAAGTAGGAAAAACATTTTGTATGTTAGTAGTCTACTATCGTTACCCAAATAATAATTATCTAACCACAAAAAGTGATTTGAATCCAATTCAATGAATATTTATTGACCGCAATAAGCAATGTTCCATGCTAGGTACAATTTCCCAGTTACACTAATTTGGAACGATAAAAGCTATTCAATTAATATTTTTACTGATAAGAAAGCTCTAGAAATTGTTTCTCTGTACCTTCTAATATAAAATATGAACATAACAGCCACACTGGAACAGAGATGAGGTCAGTGTTAGATTTGCTAATAGATCGTTTGTTCTTCCTACTGTTTTATGTGGAGGGAGCATGAGCTGGGGAAGGGGTTGATTTCTGTCTCTGAGTTATTGTAAATACTAGTGTTATCCTTGTTGTGCCCTTCCATCTACTTAGAAGTCTTGGGACCTGAAGAAGAGGAAGTAAAAAGAGGGACGAGTTGGGGCATAAGTCACTAAGGTGACTTAATTTTTTTAGTAAATCACAAATATTTAAGAAATGTTAGTTCTAAATTCCCCTGGGAGAAAGAGAGATAAGGACAGAAAGAAAACCAAAAAAGTGTGCAGTAGATTATCTGGCTAAGCTATTGAGTTCAGTATCATTCATGATATGGGAAGAACAAAGCCACACTGTTTGAATACTGTTTCTGTTTTAAGCTTTATGAAACTTGGTTAAAAAACAATTACTGAGAATAATTATTGTTAAATTAACATTTCTTATATTTCCCAAAATATATTATTCCATGGGTTAGATTTTTGTTCATTGTCATTGTGACTGTTTGGTATATACCATGTGGTGATATTTTTAACCGAGAATTTTCAACGACTCCCCAAGGTGTATTTGCAAGCACAGATTTACCTCTCTATCTGATATAAAATTAACTTAGTTGTTCTCCTAAAAGACCAACTTCAGAAAGAACATATTTGGGAAATAACTAAGTTAAAAATTCAGAGCTAAATCCTAACTGAAATAAAATAATTTAGAGCTAATCTATTTTCACAACCCCTATAACTTTCTATATTCCTATAAAATTGAGGCTGTCAAAGTTCTTATGTGTGATTGTGTTAATAGGGGTTTGATTACTATTTGGGTCATTTAGATTTCCTCAGTTTGATGGCCACAGTTTGCACCCTTAAATCTACTTAGCCATGTTACAATTGGTCATCAGAGTTACTAAGCAAGAGAATATGCAAGTATTAGCATAAAAACCAACATGAAAGTTGACAGAATGACCACCCAAAAAGAAAAACCCTGACCACCATTCTGTACTGATAATATATTTTTCACATATGAAGGTCAACACATATATACATATGCAGTCATTTAGTTTTCACCATGAGATAGTATAAAAGATAATTTATAATGGCTTATAATTTGAAAATAATGTATCCTGAGCTTGAAAATGCATTGACATGAACCAAAGTATTAATGTATTGATTTTGGAAATTAATAAGCTATAAAAATTGGAATACATATTTGGGAAAGAAAGAGATGTTCGGTAGAAGCATATCTCGAAGCTACTTCAGTAAAAATAACAACATAAGTATAGGCAGTGTTATTACTAACGTCCTAAGGAAGAACACATCTCAGTGTAAACAATCTACCTTCAAAAAGCAGAGTAGGATGTGTATAGATATATACATATGTATTTCCTCAGAATATATATATATACAATGGAAAAATACAAGCTCTAGCTTATACCTCCTTTGAAGCTTAGTGTCAATTGTATTTAAAATTGATGAAGCACTTAGTAAATGCTTTCAGATATTGAACAATAACAGAGAGGTTAAGTTAAACAGTATAATTTCTACAACAAATTTAATAATACCAGTGCATTTTTACAGTACTTCTTTATTAAATATCTTTCTATTATTTTTCCTTTAAGAGATTGTTACAATATCCCTGTTACATAAGGGCAGATATTGCTCCTACTTCACAGATAAGGAATTGAGGAATAAAGACCTAAATAAAGAGGAAAATCTAATGCCCTGAAACAGTCAAAGCCAGTTGTTAGTTTCCAGTTTCCACTTTAGGGTCCTTTCCAATGGATTGTTTTGCTTTTATTAACCTAAAAACCTAAATCTTTTTGATGTGAGATCTCTCAGTAAAGAGAGTTCTTTCTACATTATGCTTTTTAACTAGCAAATTTCTCTACCCTAAATACTGATCATTGGCTAACTGGGATTTCTTTTCTAGCCTTAAATCCTGAGGGAAATGGGATAGGAGAAGAATGGAAAGGCAGATAAAAATCAAGAGAAATTTTAATCTCTACAGAGAGGACTTTCTGAATTGCCCCAGGAAACTGGGTAACACATTTTCTCCCACCTCTACTTAAATTTGATCTTCCCAAAATTCTTATGAGGGGCATAGGAATAGATTTCATAATTGTTCCTTTACAGACAAGAAAATTGAGACTTATCATATAGAAACTAGAAAATTCACCTTCAGGTCCTTAACTTTTGAGTCTGTAATCAGTCTCTATGACACTAAAAAAATTATCTTAGAAGAAAAATCTCCCGTTCTTAAAAAGTAACTAGTTGCTTAACAATTCAGTCTACTTGAAAGCTACCATTTCCCCATTTGTACTTGCAGTTAACTTTTAACCAGAATGAAGTTATACTCTGCAACAAAATGTGACTTTTTAAATTCTAGAATATGCAGAAATGCTTTTTAAAAAACAAATATTTGGGAGGCACAAGAAAGATAATCCTGTCCTCTCTACTGCTGGTTGTAATATTTCACATTTTTTTTTATTGTTGCTCAGGTCCTGAAAATTTCCAGCATCTTAATTTATGGGGATATACTTGCTCCACAAAATTGCACCAAAGTACATTAAGAACACAATGTCTCCCTTTTAAGTATCCCCCTACGTTTCCCCCTTTCCTTTCCTAGCCTGATATTTGAAGATGCTGCGTGCTTTCATTTGCTCTTAAATTCCTTGGGATTTTTGGAAAATACATTACAGACTGGTAACTTTTGATTCATCATGATTGTTTGAAGATTTAGAATCATCTTCTAGGTTATTTTTAATCATCACTCTACTTGTTTCCTAGTAAGTGACATATCCACATGGGTCAGGTTTAACAATTTATAGGAGTAATTTCAGATGTGCCAGAAAGGAAAATGACCAAATTAATGATAAAGAGTAAAGCCACTGGACCAAAAAGACAATCTGAACTATCCTCCCATTATAAAAAACTTACCCAATGTTCCACAGGGCTTATTTTTATAAGTGCAGATATCATATCTATAGAGGAGAAAAAAGAGAGATGAAATTTGTAATCTGATCAAATTTGTAAAATATTTTCGTATATTCATCACATTTCTTTCTTAGAGCTCTGGGTTGTCAGACCACAATCGGTACAATTATGAGCAGCCAGCTGGAGCGTGGGCATTTTCAGCACTCTGGGGGACACACCGGCTGCACTACACTCACAGCCTCTGGCTGCAAGCCAATGGGACACCTGCCAGTAAGAAAGAAAGGTTAAAGTGGATTTCTGTAATTGCGAGTTCCATAAAACCATCTACCATACTGTTTTGAAGCTAGAATAGCTTGTCTGCAGATTGCTACCGCTTCTGCAAAAAAGCAAATGGGTGGCTTTTTATTCACAATCTCTTTGAACCTGCTGGAATATTTTTTTTATTATAGCCACAGATTGTGTTTTATACTTCTGAGCTATAAGCACTATCTGGCGTTCCTTCAACTATATCACAGATTCTTGTTTAAAAATAAAATAGCACAATATAGCAATGGGAATAAAATTGGTATCACAAAGTTTTCCTACTTATATACCGGATATATAGCATAGTTAAAATACAAATATTTTTACGTGAATTTGCAAACAACTAAATAAATAGCTCAATAGACGCTTTCCTAATGTTGGCTGGACTTACTCTAATGCTATATTGTCTTACAACTCAATACAAAAGATGAAGTCCATAAGTAATGCTGCATATTTTAAAATATATTATATTTAGAATGCTGAATCAATATTGATGTGAACACCTATTTTAAGCATTTTTAATAATATTCTTGTAAACCAATCTTCAAACCAAAAGTATTCCATTTCTAAAGTGAGAATAAAAAATAAATTAAAAAAGACTGACCATTTTTATTTGCCTATGTTTTATGCTAGAAATGAAAAGGTTTTCAGGTAAAATATAAAATTTCACAAACTACGGGAAAATCGAAGTTGTAAAAGTTCTTTGTATATAAATAATGGTTAGTCCATATTACTGGGGAAAGTGATTAATAATTAATCCCATTCTTGTTCACTAGATCAAAATGTATTTTCAAAAAATAAATATCACATCCAGCATACCACTGTAGTGTTGAACTCATTAAAATCCCTGGAGATGCCCTTTGCCTATTTTTAGAGTTTTGAACTCTTCATCTTGTACACTTTACATTTGGGGAAAGGGACTTCCCCTCTTGCATAGCTTTCTCTTCTATCATTCACATACTCATCTCCCCCTTGTCTTGAAATTGGTAAACTATGGGACTGCAGTATCTGGTACATTCTTGAATGTAAGACATAGAGAGGGTACTTGGTATATTTACCAAAGCACCTGAAAATATATTCTGGGTGTCACAAAATCAATTTATCTTGTGCTCATGCTGTATAATGACTACAATGTTATGAAGACACAACCCATCCCAGGAGTCTTCAAGACAATGTAAACAAAGACTTTTCATGGGTAATGCAGATATAAATGTCTACACGGAATCTATAACCAAATTCTCAACTTCTACATATGTCTTTTCCTAAAACTGATCTGCCTGAGAATGCAAGCACCTGCAAGCCACCAGCTTCCCTTTCCTCTTTTGCCTTTCACAATTGCCCTGTTTCTGCTTTCAAAAAAGAAAGCTTACTTCTCACCCATCCCAAACATTGTTATGGTGCATTGTCTCCTGGGTGTAAAGGTCTCCAGGATGGGGAGCAAGATGGTGGAAGAGTGGGAGACCTGGATTTTCTCTGGTCCCAGGAATTCAGCTGGATAGGGACCAAACCATTCTGAACACCTACGAACTCAACAGGAGATCCAAGAAAAGAATAGCAACAACTCTCTGAACAGAAAAGCGACCACTTTCTGGAAGGTAGGACTTGTGGAGAAGTGAATCCGAGGCGACATTCAGGAGGATAGATGGTGGGGGAGGGGGCCAACGTTGGCCGCTTCTGGCAAGTGATAGAGCCAGGAAGCTCAAAATCGGAACTTTTAGAAGTCTGCTCCGCTGAGGGACATCACTCCAGTGGCTAATTGGGGGGTGGCAACCTGACTGGGACAGTGTGGTCTCAGGACCCTCGGGGCCACAGAAAGACCGGGGGTGCCGGAGTGTGGCACAGCACCCAGGTACCAGAACAGGGAAGCCGGCTGCAGAGACGGATCAAAGGCAGGGGCTCTCAGCTCAGGGGTTGCCATAAACCATGATCCGCGGCACAGTGAGGACGCTGCTCTTCCAGCAGGGACCCAACAAGCACAGACCAGGGAAACGGGAGTGACTGCTTATCTCTGGGGGCTCCCTGAGGAATGGGGCCCCAAGTTCTCGGCACCTCCGGGCACAGATTGGGAGGTCGCCATTTTCACTCTCGTCCTCCAAAGCTGTATGGAAAGCTTGCAGGGAACAAAAGCTCAAGAGCAAACCCAATCAGATTACGTACCTCTGACCGGCAAGGGAGGGGCAATTCTGCCTCCGACAAAGACATTTGGGAACCACGGCAACGGGCCCCTCCCCCAGAAGATAAGCAAGAACAGCCAGCCAAGACCAAGTTTAGCGATCAATGAGAACAGCAGAACTCCAGTGCTAGAGGAATACTGTACATAGAATTCATGGCTTTTTTACCATGATTCTTTAGACTTTCAAAGTTAATTTTTTTTGAATTTTTCTTTTTCCCTTTTTCAACCAACATCTTATCAATCCCTTTTTTAAAAGATATTTTTTATTTTTCATTTTTACACTCATATTGTATCCCTTCATAGTAGTTACCCTTATTTTTGGTATATATATATATATATATATATATATATATATATATACACACATAAGTTGTTCTCTCTTTAAAATTTTGGGATACAGTTTCTTCTAACAGATCAAAATATACCCTAAATCTCTAGGGTATGGCTCTGTTCTAGTCTCCTGGCTGACCACATTCTCTCCTTTTTTTTTTTTTAAATCCTCTTCTTTCTTTTATCAACCAACTTCTTATCAATTCCTTTTATAAAATCTTTTATAATTTTCATCTTTAGAGTCATGCTCCATCCCTTCATCGTATTAACCCTTACTGCTGTGCATATGTAAGTTTTTCTTTCGTTAAAAATTTTGGGAGGCACTTTCTTCTAACAGACCAAAATTCACCCAAAATCTAGTGTGTGCCACTGATCTATATACCAGCCTGATCATATTGGACCATATTCTGTTTTGTTTTGTTTTTGTTTTATAGTTTTCTTTTTTTTTCTTCTTCTTTTTTCTTTCTTTCCCTTTCTTTTCCCCTGGTTTCAGGTCTTTTCTTTTCTTTTTTTTTAAGGATTTTATTTATTTATTTCAGAGAGAGAGAGAATGAGAGATAGAAAGCACGAAAGGGAAGAGGGCCAGAGGGAGTAGCAGACCCCCGCTGAGCAGGAAGCCCGATGCAGGACTCGATCCCGGGACTCCAGGACAGTGACCTGAGCCAAAGGCAGTTGCTTAACCAACTGAGCCAACCAGGCGCCTGGTTTCAGCTCTTTTCTGATTTGTTTAGTATATATTTTCTGGGGACGTTGTTACCCTGTTAGCATTTTGTTCTCTCATTCATCTATTCTCCTCTGGACAAAATGACAAGATGGAAAAAATCACCTCAACAAAAAGAACAAGAGGCAGTACCCTCTGCCAGGGACCTAATCAATACAGACATTAGTAAGATGTCAGAACTGGAGTTCAGAATGATGATTTTAAAGATACTAGCTTGGCTTGAAAAAAGCATGGAAGTTATTAGAGAAACCCTTACTGGAGAAATAAAAGAACTAAAATCTAACCAAGTCAAAATCAAAAAGGCTATTAATGAGGTGCAATCAAAAATGGAGGCTCTAACTGCTAAGATAATTGAGGCAGAAGAGAGAATTAGTGATATAGAAGACCAAATGACGGAAAATAAAGAAGCTGAGAAAAAGAGAGATAAACAACTACTGGATCACGAAGGCAGAATTCAAGAGAGAAGCTATACAATAAAATGAAACAACATTAGAATTGGGATCCCAGAAGAAGAAGAAAGAGAGAGAGGAGCAGAAGGTATACTGGAGCAAAATATACCAGAGAACTTCCTTAATTTGGGGAAGGAAACAGGCATAAAAATCCAGGAGGCACAGACAATCCCTCTCAAAATCAATAAAAATAGGTCAACAACCCAACATATAATAGTAAAACTTACGAGTCTCAGAGACAAAGAGAAAGTCCTGAAAGCAGCTCGGGAGAAGAGATATGTAACCCACAATGATAGAAAAATTAGATTGGCAACAGACGTATTCACAGAGACCTGGCAGGCCAGAAAGGAATGGCATGATATATTCAGAGCACTAAATGAGAAAAATATGCAGCCAAGAATACTATATCCAGCTAGGCTGTCATTGAAAATAGAAGGAGAGATAAAAAGCTTCCAGGACAAACAAAAACTAAAGGAATTTGCAAACACGAAATCAGCCCTACGAGAAATATTGAAAGGAGTCCTCTAAGCAAAGAGAGAGCCTAAAAGCAACATAGACCAGAAAAGAACACAGACAATATACAGTAACAGTCACCTACAGGCAATACAATGGCACTATTGTATTGTTCAGATTACAATTGTATTGAAAGATATTCATATCTTTCAATAGTTACCTTGAATGTAAATGGGCTAAATGCCCCAATCAAAAGACACAGGCTATCAGACTGGATAAAAAACCAAGACCCATCGATATGCTGTCTGCAAGAGACTCATTTTAGACCCAAAGACACCCCCAGATTGAAAGTGAAGGTGTGGAAAACCATTTACCATGCTAATGGACACCAAAAGAAAGCGTGGGGGGCGATCCTTATATCAGACAAATTAGATTTTAGAACAAAGACTGTAATAAGAGATGAGGAAGGACACTATATCCTACATAAAGGGTCTATCCAACAAGAAGATCTAACAACTGTAAATATCTATACCCCTAACATGGGAGCAGCCAATTATATAAGCCAATTAATAACAAAAGCAAAGAAACACATTGACAACAATACAATAATAGTGGGGG